TGATTATGGGAGTTCCCTCGGTTATGATTCCTCTTCTTCTTCACAGGAGGACGGAGCTGCAAGCTTGAGGAGTATTTACAGTGGCCTTGCCATCGCGATTTCGAAATAGTCTTGTTTGCTGTGACCATCTTGATACAAAAAAAATTAGGCGTCGATGAGGCGGCCGCCATGACTACCAACGAGATTTCCTTTTTAAGGGGTTTCTTGTTTCTGAATAAGAGAATTAAAATTAGCCCATGCTGATGATGACGATGACAAGGGAAAAACACCACGGGAAGAGATGGAGAAAAAGAGCATAAAATCCTAGTACAAGCAAGCAATCAAGCAAGCGCAAGTATTGTATCAAAAAAATCCAAACTATTTTTAGATAGCTAGCTACCCTTTTCTTTTTCTTTTACCCTGAGACTGAGAGGACTCTTCCTAGATTGACAAAACAACAAAGGGATGTGGAAATCCAAACAAACAGTTGCACTCAAAAACTAGCTGAGAGAAAAATAGGAGTTGGTGAGAGAGAGAGAGAGAGAGAGAGAGAGAGAGAGAGAGAGAGAAGAGAACAAAACAAGAAATGGGAAAAGAAAACAAACCAATTTGTAAAAACCTCTTCTTAATTCCTCTTTCTCTTCTTGTTGTCTTCTCCTTTCTCTTCTTAGATCCAAGGTTTTTCAATCCCTTCAAATCTTGTTTTGTTTTGTTTCGGGGTGGATCTTTTCTCTTCCACCTAGCTCTCTCTTGCTCACCCCTTGGCACCACAAAATAAAAATGCCTAGAGAAATTAATTTATATATAGTTTAGAGAGAGAGAGAGACATAATAGAGAGAGAGTGTTGAGGTGTTGATGGGAGTCTCACGGAGGCACATCGTGTCGTTAAGCGGCGAAGAGGTGGGTCCACTGACCCTGCAGGATTTACCTTCTCTCTCTCATCTCCTTCTTCTCTAATTTCGAATCCCATGTGAAGACAAACTCAACCCTCGTCACCCACATTCTCTAACCCTCTCGTTAAAAAAAAGACGCAATATTACATTTTGGTGATACTAGTACATGTAATTACTCATTATAACATTTCATATTTTAACTGGTGTGCTGCTAGCATGACATATATGTAGAAACAGCGAAGTTCAGGAGAAAAACAAACAAGCAGTTTCATGGTTGATTGTGAGTGGCACGACGGTCGACCGTAAACGTGCACGGCGTCAGGAAAAGTCTCTGGACTTTTAACGATCGATCGCGATAGGTTCTGCGGTCAACCGCGCCCAAGCTTTGTAGGTGATTAAGTCTCTGTACTTTTTACGGTCGACCGCGATATTGGCTCGGCGGTCGACCACGATATTGGCTCGGCGGTCGATCGCGTAGCGGGTATTGGGCTGTTTTGTTTCCTGCTCGTTTTCTGATTGGGTTTTGATATAAATTTTAAATACTTGTTTCTAGGGTTAAGAGATGAGAGTTTTAACAGAGATTTGTGAGTATTCTGAGCACTTTGAGAGGGAGAACTTGTGAGCAAGTTGAGAGATTTGGTTTAGCGTTTGTGTGAGTGATTTTGTGAGATTGTAACCCTTTGTACTCTCCTTGATTTAGTGGAATCTCCCCATCCTCTTCCCGTAGACGTAGGCAAATTATCGAACCACGTATATCTCTGTGTTTGGTTTGATTTGTCGTATTTGGATTGAATTGTGCGCGTATGTGGCTAGTTCTCTTCTCCCATGATCACAGATTCATTCTGTATGCGAGCACGTTTCCGCATAGGCGCGTAAAAATTGGTATCAGAACTCAGATTTCAGATCTAGGGTTTTGACATTAGGTGGAGGAAGATTCGTCATGGAAGCTTGGTTCTTGAAGTTCACCGTAATATTAGCTCGGCGGTCGATCGCGTAGCGGGTATTGGGCTGTTTTGTTTCCTGCTCGTTTTCTGATTGGGTTTTGATATAAATTTTAAATACTTGTTTCTAGGGTTAAGAGATGAGAGTTTTAACAGAGATTTGTGAGTATTCTGAGCACTTTGAGAGGGAGAACTTGTGAGCAAGTTGAGAGATTTGGTTTAGCGTTTGTGTGAGTGATTTTGTGAGATTGTAACCCTTTGTACTCTCCTTGATTTAGTGGAATCTCCCCATCCTCTTCCCGTAGACGTAGGCAAATTATCGAACCACGTATATCTCTGTGTTTGGTTTGATTTGTCGTATTTGGATTGAATTGTGCGCGTATGTGGCTAGTTCTCTTCTCCCATGATCACAGATTCATTCTGTATGCGAGCACGTTTCCGCATAGGCGCGTAAAAATTGGTATCAGAACTCAGATTTCAGATCTAGGGTTTTGACATTAGGTGGAGGAAGATTCGTCATGGAAGCTTGGTTCTTGAAGTTCTAGACTTCAGTGGAGATAGTGTTTGGGGTTACCGTTGAAGATTTTGCTTTTCTCGTGTGGTTAGGAGATCTATTTGGAATCCGTTTCAGGGTTCAATTGAGTAACTTCTAAATTCTACCAAATTTGAATCTTTTTTTTTGTAATTTGGAGTTTGTGATTACGAGTGAAAAAGTTGGTGAAAACAGTAAGATGGCGGGTACAATTCAAATTGGTTTTCAGAATACTAAAATTAGTGTGGTTAAATATAACGATAAGATCAATTTTGGTTTGTGGATGAGCGACGTAGAAGATATGCTCAATGCTCAAAATTTAGAGAAGACCATCATGGTTCATGAGAGGCCACCAAAATATAAAAAGGCGGTATGAGAAAAGATGAGTAGGAACGCTTGTGGGATGATTAGATCTTGTTTGGAACATGAGCTGAAATGATGTGATTGGGGTGACGTCTGCAATGAAGATGTGAAAAATTCTTAATAACAAGTATCTTACGAAGAGTGTTGAGAACAGATTACACTTGCTGCGCAGGTTATTTAGATTTCAGATGTCCAGGGGCACCTTACTAGTAGTTCATGTAAACAACTACACTAAGTTATTGTCGGACTTAGCGAATGTTGATGAGAAGATATTAGATGAGTACAAAGAGATTATTTTGTTGGGCTCCTTATCAGATGAGGAATATGATACCTTTGTACTTACTTGGCTGAACGAGAGATCTTCTATAACTTATAGTGAAGTAACTAACGCTTTGATGAATTATGATTTGAGGAGGAAGGATAATGAGACTTCCCATGCTAGTACTTCAGGAGAGGTCTTGTTGACTGAGGTAGAAGCTCATATCCGAGAGGTGGCAATAGAAGCATGTTAAAGTCAAGAGGCCATCACCAGCTTAGAAAGAACCAATGTGCATTCTGCAAGGAGCAGAGATATTGGAAGAGAGACTGTCCAAATGTTAAGGAGAAGGAGAATAGCAAAAAGAAGGACCCGAAGGCCAATGAGGTGAATATTGTGAAAGGCGATGATTCCGATGATTCGAGCTTTTCTCTATTGATTACTCCGGAGGTAAACCACTTGGATGCATCAAATCGGATACTTGATTCTGGCGCTACTTGTCATGTGACTCCTAGGTGAGATTAGTTTTTATCATTTGAGAGACTCGATGGGGGTGTTGTTGTTATGAGAAATGATTAATCCTATGGTGTTTGTGGGATAGGTACCATGAGGATTCAGATGCATGATGGAGTAGCCTGTGAATTGAAGGAGGTGAGATTTGTTCCTCAGTTAAAAAAGAATCTTATCTCATTTGGAGCTTTGTTGGCAAAGAGATTGAAGGTGACCTTTGAGGATGCTGTAGCAAATGTTACTAAGAGATCTTTAGTGGTGATGAAGAGAGTTCGCAGTCAGAACTTATATTATGTGAAGAGGAGCATCGAGATTGGCCAGGTTGCTTTAGTATTTCAGAGGCGGATATTAGCAGACTTTGGCACTATAGGTTGGGGCGCACAGGAGAGAAGTCACCGCAAACTTTGTATAAGCAGGAGCTATTGAAGGGAGCCAAGAGTGAAAAGGTTGAGTACTGTAAGCACTGTGTTCTTGGTAAGAAGACGAAGGTGAAGTTTGAGACTGCCATTCATAGGACGAGAGGCATCCTGGATTATGTGCATACACCTTAATAGAATAGGGGTGACAGAGAGGTTAAATCAGTCTTTGTTAGAGAAGATCCAATGTTTGTTGGCTTATAGTGGTTTAGAGAAGATCTTTTAGGCTGAGACACTTTCATATGCGAGCTACCTCATTAACAGTCTGCCTTCATCTGCGATTGAGGGGAAGACCCCTATGGAGATGTGGTCGGGAGAGCCAGCACACGACTATGACCAGCTCAAGATATTTGGATGCCCTGCATACTATCATGTGAAGACTGATAAGTTAGAACATCGAGCTAGGAATGTTATATTTGTAGGATTCAAGCGTGGTATCATGTGATACAAGCTATAGGATCCAGTTGATAGGAAGATTATGCTGAGTAGAGATGTCACATTCGATGAGGCTTCTATCTTGAAGCTTCCCAGCTCTCATCAGGTAGAGAGCGACCCAACAGAGGAGATATCATTGGTAGTGAAGATTGATGCAGCTCCACATTATCCAGATGGTACAGTATCCTTTAAAGTGCCGACTAAGGTGACGCCAGAGGATCACGGTGATGACCAGGAGGATACGGGTACAGTTGTATAGGATCAGGGACCAACGGTTCAAGTTCAGGATTTTATTACGGTTCAGAGACAGAGGAGAGACATACGAATGCCAGCACGGTATACCGACACAATAGTTGCATATGCACATTCGGTGGAGAGTATCTATGAGTTAGTGCCTACTACATTCAGAAAGGCCGAGCAGAGTTTGGAGGCTGATCCGTGGTAGATAGCTATGCAGGAGGAGATGAAGTATATTCATAAGAACGATACATGGGAGCTTGTTGAGCTTCCAAAGGGGTAGAAGGTGATTGGTTGCAAGTGTGTATTTACGAAGAAGGAGGGCATTGAGGGTATTCCAGAGAAGTTCAAGGCTAGGTTGGTTACGAAGGGCTATGCACAGGAGGAAGGTATTAATTATAATGAGGTTTTCTCTCCAGTGGTGAATCACTCTTCGATTTGGATTTTGCTAGCTTTGGTGTCACAGTATGGATTGGAGTTAGATTTGTTGGATGTGAAGATGATATATTTTCATGGTAATCTTGATAAAAAAAATATATGACTCAACCATTAGGATTCCGAGCTACAGGAAAGGATAAATTAGTTTGCATGTTGAAGAAATCGCTATACGGTTTAAAGCAGTCTCCTCGAACAGTGGTATATGCGATTTGATGATTTTATGATTGGTCATTCATACACTTAGAGCCAGTTTAATCCTTGTGTGTATTTTCACAAGTTGAAAGGAGGTACATACATCTATTTGTTGCTTTATGTCGATGACATATTAGTTGCCTCTATTTACAGGTCTTCTATAGATGAGTTGAAGGCATAGCTTTCAAAAGAGTTTGAGATGAAGGATTTGGGTGAGGCTAAACACATTTTGGGGACGGAGATCGGCTGATACAAAAAGAAGGGCATAATTTATTTGACATATGTGGCTTATTTGAAGAAGGTTCTACAACGATTTTATGTC